ATCCCACTGAAATTAATTAATGGAAGTGATTCAACAGCAGTGCTTGCTGGGTTGTAGCCCTTCGATTAAATCTCCAAGGTGCTGATCTTTACCTTGGCTTGACTACTACGTACCTTAAGTACTCACTGCTGCCCTATATATTACCTAGGCTTTCTTGAATCAATAGGGACAATTAAGATATTTACCTTAAAGAAAATAGTTAAAATATGGATTTATAATCTAATTAAAAAGTGTAACAAATAGACCCTTTTCACCTATGCATAAGATCCTACCCTCACGATCCAGCCACAGTTAAGCACTGGTTTTAATGGGGGATGGATTTAAAGATATGAGGCTAAACATGTTTTCTCTTGTAAAGCTCAAGAATTAGATCTGACTTCCTCCAAACTAGGGATCTGAGCTGCATTAAGAAGCCTCACGGACTTCAGTAGGACTTCCCTCCAACAAAATACTATACAGTATTTTACTTCTGCTAGCTGTGTAGCTTTTAAAGGAACAGGAACAGTTTCAGAAAAAAGCTGGAATCCTTATAGAACCCCCATATTTGTGCATATCACAGCAGCTCTACAACATAGCTTAGCTCCAAAGTGCCCTTTAATGTTGCTATTTTTTTAAAGGCAATCCATACCATTCTTCTGTTCACAGGGAAGATGATGCTTTGATGCCTATGATGAACATTCAGTTTAAATTACCGTACTCCAGTGTTATTGGATTACACTCTAATAGTGAGCATATTTGCTCAGATAGCAAACCTCACATTTGCTGAATGGTGCTTTCATGATTTCCAACCATGAAATCCTATTCCTTTTTTTACTCAGAAGTGCCACTGAGTTCAGCAAGCTTGTCAATACTGTCGTATTATAGTATTGCAATCCCAAACATGCTAAGGGTAGCCACAAGCAAGAGGATACTTTTGGTGGTGGCTCCCTAGGCCCAGAATACTTTACGTAAAAAAGCTCACAGCCTGTACCTCTATTGGTTGTTGTTTTTTCTGGCACCAGGTTCAAACTTCTTCCAGACCTTTTAAGTTCTTGTTTGAAATCCCTCTGGCAAGATTGGTGGTCTTAGTTATGATTTCTTTTTTTAAAAATATTTTTTATTAAAGTTTTCAGATTTTACATTTCCACATTAATATCTTTCATTATACCCATACATTCAATGACTTCCCTCCTTTACCTTCCAAGGTTCTTTTGATTTACCCATAATTTCTGGATATTCTTGTATATCGTAGGGTTGCCATATTTCAAACAGTGAAACTCCAGAAAGAAAAGTTTTTGAGTGCGTCCATTTTTCCCTGATTTCCACCCAGACCCTGCTGCCAACTGCAGTACTCTGGATATGTCTGGGGAAACCCTATGTATATTAATCTATTTCAGTTCCCCCCTTTTACATCCCTTTTAAATATGTTATACTGTTTAATTTACCTTAATACTACCAGCGTTTGCAACTGTGAATAATTATTTTCTACTCACAAAAAAAATCCCACTTCTCTTTAAATACAGTGGTACCTTGGTTCTCAAACACCTTGGTACTCAAACAACTTGGAACCCAAACACTGCAAACCCAGAAGTGTTCCAGTTTGTGAACTTTTTTCGGAAGCCAAACATGCTCCGTTTTGAGTGTTACACTTCCGATTTGAGTGCCACACTGAGGCCTGTCTGTTTTTGCTATTTATTTTGCGTTTTTGTATTTGTGGCTCTCTTTTTTTGTGACTGTGTGAAACCCAGTTCAGCTACTGATTGATTGATTGTGTGACTGCAGTACATTGTTTATCGCTTTCATTTTATGGATCTTTGAAGCTTTACCTGCTCATCTTTTGTTTCCCACTCCAATAATAGGAGTTTAGACAATAGTTTTTCATTATTCTCTAATAAATCTCTTTCAAATTGTGAGATTTTGTCCAGAAATCTGTTTTTCTTACCTAGTTTAAACATATCATACAATTGGTGGTACTGTAATCAGTCTGTTTCTTGGTTTCTTATTTCTTCCATTGGTTTCAATCTGGGTTCCCTCCCTGAGAGGTCCAGTAAGTCTCTATAGGTCGCCCACTGTCTGTCCATGTTAATTCTCTTGATTGTAATAGCTTCCATTGGTGATAACCATAGTGGTGTTTTCCTTTACAGCAGGTTCTTATATTTCTCTCAGACTCTATACAGATTCTTCCTGATCACATAACTTGAAAAACTTGTATATATTTTAGCTTCCCATGCCCAAAACATGAATTTTAGTTCTGCACTAAACAAATCTGCTGTAGCCTGGAACTGAGTGTGTGCAGTGTAGCTGACTTGTGCTGAATGGGACACAATTGTGGCCAGCCTGAAGAAGCACCAGTAAACCTTGGTGCCTGACAATAAAATCAAGCCAAGCCAGAGGAACTAGAATAATGACAGCACTTTCACTGAGAAAGTGAACTGTGTGTTTGTTTAGGCCCTGGTTGAGAGAAGCTGTCAGAAAGAACTAATGCCAGTATATATTTACGGTATTGCATTAATGGTTTTATTGTGTATTTTAACTCTTGTTGCTGCTGCTTTAGGTTTCTTTTGGACACTGCTTAGAGATTTCTTAATGTATTCAGTGGCATATAAATGATCTAAATAAATATGATGGCTGCTTAATTCTGTGCTGTATATGGAATGCTAGCTGATTGGGTTTTTTACATTAGTTTTTTCTTAAGCTTATTGTGTTTTTATTTATTGTAGTATGGTTTTATTGTTGCACTTCTCTTTGACCAATGCCCTAAACTGCTTGAGACGTCTTGCAGATGCAATTTCTGCAGTAAACCAGATAGGATAGTGCTGTCCAGCATTCAGTTATTTGCATTTTTCTGGAAGCAAGCCTAGTTGAATAAAAGCAAGTGGTGCCTCTGAGTAAGCATGCTTGTTGTTAGGCTGCGATTCTGAGCACACTTACTTGGGAGTAAGAAGTGGTGCAGAAAAAAGTAGGAAAGCCGGTACAGTATTGCTTCCGAGGAAGCATGCCTAGGCTGGACTTAAAACGCCTCTCATGCAAGCGGGACAAATTTTCGGACTTGCATTAAGTTTCCTGAGCGGGGAGATGAAGCCTGCAAGACTGAATATATTAGCTAGGCAGCTTGCCCCAAGGGGCACAGCGAGTTAGAGTAAGCACGCCTAGGCTGGAGGTGCACAAAGAAGAGAAAGCTGGCAAAGGGAAGGGAGGGTGTTTGAAGGTTGCTAAGGCGAACAACGGCGCGTCGCGGGGGAGATGCGCCGCGGCCCAACTAACCGGGCCTTTACCTATGCTGACACCTCCCAGAAGGCCAGCCGTTGCCATGGTGATCATCAAAGGCCGGGGCAGCGCTGCTTTCTTTTAGCCCCCTTTCTTCGCGCCGCGTCACGTGCCCGTTCGAACGCGCCAATCACAAGTTCCTCAGCGAAGAGGGGCGGGGAGAGCGTGTGTTTCTGCGTAGGAGGGGTGAAGGACGTAGGCAGCTTTTTCTTCCCTACTTTCACCACAATCACATCTGATTGGCTAAGATTCACCCTCCCCGCGCCCTGATTGGTCCGCGGCACATCTGGGTCTTTTATGTGGGGGTTCTTTTACGTTCTGTCTGTGTGTGTGTGTGTTTGTGATATTATTTGTTTTTGTTTGTCTAGGCCCCGCCCCAGCTAACTGGAGGGGCGTGACGTATCTCCCACCGCCTCCTCCTAAAACTGTTCGTGACACGCCTCCTTTTCCACCCGCCTCTTTCCCTTCCCGCCCCTTGGTAACAAGACAACCTCAAGAGTGGCGAGTTAGACGTTATTAGCCGCGCCCCCTAAGGGGCAGGACGAAAAGAGCGACGCTCGAGGCGCGGCTGAGGGCGGGTAAAGGAGGGCGGGGCCTGGGATGTGGGTCGGGGGCAGCTTCTGAGGGGAGAGTTTGAAAGGCAGGAATTAAGAGCCTAGAAAGCTAAGGCTAGAGAGTCATATGCTGAGGAAGGGTCAATTGATGGCAGGGACTAGGCGAGAGGTGGAAATACAGGGATTAGGGCTGAAAGGATGAAAATTGAGTGGGGGGGTGTCAAGAAATAACGGTCTTTGGTGGAAGAGGTGAGTTTTCAGGAAACTGAGGGATGGTCAAGAAATGATAGGGGCTAGGGTGGAAAAATGAGGGGGTCGTCCAGGAAATTGAGGAGGGGGTGGCAAGAAATAGTAAGGACTGGCATGGAACGCTGAGGGGGTGTTCTAGGAAACTGAGGGTCAAAAAATGAAAGGAGCTGAGGTGGAGGAATGAGGGCTCCTCCATGGCCACCACCAGAAGTGCACCTGGTGAAGCTTTCCCCCATTGCTACATTTACCTGCTTGCTGAGAGAGAAAGGTGAATGGGTGAAGAAATCTCTTCACCTGACGTATTTCTGCTTATCAGTGAGTTGTTAGTGGAAATGCAGCATGATAGGAAAGTAACCCCCCCCCCAAGTACAGGTAGAACTGGTGTGTGCAGTCCTCCAACTACCTGAGTGGAATAAGGGGCCCTGACCTCTCTTTCCGTGCTAGTTGCACCCGCCCCGCCCATCTACTAAAAGGGGAACATTGGTTAAAATTGGCAGAAGTCTGGACGCGGGGTTGCCAGTTGCATTTAGGCTGCCTCTGCCTTACCCATGATTCGAACGGTGTTTTGTGGGGGTTGTGGCAATACCAGTAAGGGGTGCTCTAGGAAGAACTAAGGAGAGATGCTTGCAGACACAGAAAATGCCAACGGAGATGGAGTCCGGGGAGGGATGCTGAGGCTGCCATCCTAGGCGCTGTGAGTTAAATCCTATTGAAATCAGCAGGGCTTCTTAGTTTAAAGAAAAATTGTGGGAGATTAGTCTGTAAAATATCAGCTGCGCTTGTGGATACCGTAATGAAACTATCGCCGAAACATTTGGAGCGGGGGCTGGTTCTGAATCTATAGTAGCCAGGAGTTCCGAGGGGGCGGGCTCTTGTAGTGTAAGTATCAATGGGGAGGGGCTTTGGAGCAGCTGCCTAGAGGAGGAAGGGGGAGTCTGGGGAAGGGGGCGTGGCTCCGGCTGGCTCCCACGTCCCCTCTAGTCTCTCTCTGCTTCTCTCCTCCTTCACAGGGTGACACGTCTGCAGGGTGAGTGAGTGGCATTGGCAGACTGTCAATCCCTCACCAAAGCGGCCATCAAACAACATAAAACACACACAGTCACTGAGCTGCTGGGCTCATAAATTCCAGCTGGCGGATATTTTTGCACATTGCTTTGCAGAGAGTGTGTAATTAATTTTTTTCTTTACTCTCCCCCCTTTTTTAAAAAAACCCAACATCCGCTCTTTTCTTTTGCACAAGTTGAAACTTTTTTGCTGCTATTTTATCTATCCGTTGCACAGACAAGACAGACATTGGAATCGTTTGTTATGTATGTGTGTGTGTTTTTTTCCGAGACGGGGAAAGGACAATCATTTTTCCCTCCCACCGGCTGCATTTTCTTGTCTACTTTTTCTTCTTTTTTTTTTTAACGTTGCAATTAGGGGCTGGGGGTGTCTGCTTGGTTTATTGTGATTTTTAAAATCCCCTACCGTGTGTCACACTCGTAACTTTAAGGATTTGAAAGTAAGTTTTATCCCGTTCCCCTCTTTTTTCTTCCCCCCCCCCCCCCTTGCTGCATTTTTACAAAATTTTCGTCCTCTCTGTTTCCAAGAAAAGGGTTTTCAAAGGAGGAAAAAAAAACAAAGACAAGTAAGAGAAAAGACATAGACGAGCAACTAACTTTTTTTTCTTTCCCCCCTTCCCCCTTAAAGGAAATAATAAAGCCTTTGGGTGAAGATTTGTACCAAAGGAAAGAAAACTTCAGACACCTTATCAAGGCCGTTTATCCGAACCACAAATATTGTGATGAAAGAAGATTGTAACTAAAGAAGAGAGTGATTTACTGCTCTGGAAAGCAGAAGAGAGAGTGGAATAAACAACGGAGATCCGGTCAAATATCAAACACTGATCCCCCCTTCTCTCAGGAGCAGGAACTGAAATTCATTACAAGAACAAGAGATTTACTTGCATTTTCTCTCTCCCCCCCCCCCCAATCTTCCAAGCACAAAACCACCTTATCGTGAAGCGCTTCTTTCCCCCCCCCCTCCCTCCTCCTTCGCCTCCTCCTTCTCCGGCGTGCCGTTTCTTCTTCTGCTGCCTCCGTTGCCGCCTCTCCAAGTGCATTGATTGGGCTGCGGTAGGAGGCATGGATGAGCAGTCCAGGATGTTGCAGACTCTCGCCGGCGTGAACCTGGCTGGCCACTCGGTACAGGGGGGCATGGCTCTGCCTCCTCCCCACGGACACGAAGGGGCCGACGGCGATGGCCGCAAGCAAGACATAGGAGACATCCTCCACCAGATTATGACCATCACGGACCAGAGCTTGGATGAGGCGCAAGCAAAGTTGGTCTCATTAAAACAAAAAATCCCAATGTTGTGTATATATTTGTGTGTGTGTGTGTATGTGTGCATGTGCGCGCGTGCGTGTGTATGTATGGTGCGCTCGTGTGTGTGTTTATATGCGTGGCGCTTTTTGTTGTTGTTTCGCTCCTTGCTGTCTCCTGCTGGGACCAAATATTCTTGCAATTAAGACAACCCTTTTAATACTAGAGGAGAAATGCGCGGGGGGGGGGGGGCACAGACCAGGGGCAACAGCCGGAGTTGGTCTGAATAAGGGAGAGAGAAAAGAAGCACAATATACATGTGCAAAGATTCCTTCCTCCCACCCCCCACCCCAAAATCTGTCTTATTGCACTAATGCTTGGAGCTGGGCTGTTGCTGATAACCTTTCCTTTATTAGGATGATGCCCTCATTTAAGGGGTGGGGGTAGAATCGGCCTGCCATCCCATGCTGTTCTCATCTTGGAGGGTTTGCGTTTTCTTTCAAAGAAGTGTGAACTTTGTAGTGCGCTGCACAACCCCCAAATTGGTGTTTCTCTGGAGTTAGATTGATTTAAAAATTAAAAGAGTGAGGAAATATTACAGGGTGCAAGAGATTGGGAGAAACAGTTCCTCCCCTCCTTTTTTTTCCTTAAAAGAAATTATTATTTTTAATATAAATTGCAGTAAATACAAAACAAAGCATATAGTTGAACTCTGGAAATCCCCTCTCTTCATAAATCAGTGATGATGATATAGCAAATTGGAAAGCTTTGACAAGCTGTGATTTATGCATGAGAAGAAATGGAAGGAAATTTTCGCATCAGGTTTCTGGGGTTTTGTTTTTTAAAAACAACAACGATAATTTTAAAATGAAACAAAACAAAAACTTCTTCGGTTTCTCTTCCTGGCTGTAAGTGGCAGACAGGGCGGCTGGGGTTGGCTGGGTTTTCTTCTTGTCACTTAGTCTTCACTTCCTGATGAAGGAGAAGGCAGTTGACCCTCTTGCCACCCACCCCCAACTCAGTTTGTACCTATGGTGATTAAGTTCAAACATCCTTACCTTTCTCCTTAACGTAGGTACTCTGTCCACATTGGGATCACTCCTGTTGCCCTCTTGAGCCTAGCTTCAGCCTTCCCCATCAAAAGCTATACCCTTATTCCTTGTCAACTTTAGTTATTCCTTTGCATAGATCAGAATGCAAAGAGTAACATGTAAAGACTTCAGTTAAAAATTATTTTCCCCTCCTTTGCATTAAGATGCCAGGCTTGTGCTAATACCTTTTAAAAAATCTTTTATTTTGCAGAAAGCATGCACTGAACTGCCACAGAATGAAGCCTGCTTTGTTCAGTGTCCTCTGTGAAATCAAAGAGAAAACAGGTAGGAGACCACAAGTTACACAGCTTTTGAAATGAACCCCTTTCCCTCTCTCCCCCCAATAGGTAAACATTGCAATATACTTCTCTCAGCGAGCTCTAGGAGAGCTGCTTTAGGAACCGCAGCCATCTTTGATCATCACCTCCTTGTCTGTTTCTGATCTTTGGGTTGGGAGGCAGAGGCGAATGTAATCAATCAGGAATGCTTTTTAAAAAAACAATTCATAATCCTGCTGCAGAATGAAATGTAAATGAAAATGGTAGTGTATCACCTATTCAGGGTAAATTCCCCCTCTCGCTGCAGTCAGGGAAAGTAAAAGCAAGGATCCGGCTTTCTTTCCCCTCCTCCTCTGCCTTGTTTTGAGTATCTGCTTCTTAAAGAAGCAATGCAAGAGGCTGGAGAAGCCAATTACAGCCAGTGGCCCCTCTGTGTGAGAGACCGAAAGAGCCAGCAACTTTCTTGAGCCACTCTTGTATTTTTGATTTTGTCAGTACCAGTTTATATGTAACTGAAAGGAGTCAGTCAATAGCTCTGAGCTCCCACATTTTGTAGGAAAATTATGGGTGTTCAGATGTGCGTTGGGAAGACATTCTTGACGTGTGTTCTATGCACATCTTTACACAGAGGGGGGAAATACATATATGTACATATATTTTCTGTGGATATTTTTGGCAAGAGACTTTGCCTCTGAAAATGGGGGCAACATGTCAAAGAGAAAGTACCTAATCAGAGAAAGCATCTTGTAGAACTAAGGCTTAACAGGACAGTCGAGCTGTGTGCTTTCACACTGAATGAAGTGTGAGAGATTGAAAACCACCTTCTCAACAATTGGGTCCACAAGAGATAAATATCTTAATGTTCATAATTCAGCTCATAAAGCTAAAATTCTACTTTCAGACATTTGATCTGAGTTGTCACTAACTGCGATTAGCATCTGTGTGGCACTTGACTTCAGCGTATTGTTGTTTGTATAGATCTTCCAAAACTCCCTCCCCCGAACTGCATGGCATGCTGAAAGGCCTGGTAGATACTGCAAGTGTAAGCATGTCTAAGGAAGGCATACTGCTTGTGTGCATGATAGAATAGAAATGCTGGAATATATAAAAGCCAGTGAGTTTTTAAAAACAACAAGAAGCAGGCCTTTTAAAAGAGGTTCTGTACCTCTGTGTGTGTACAGGAAATCCAGCAATGTCTGTCTTTTTGCATAGCAGTTACTTTAAAAATGCTACAACAATCCTGCTGTCAAGCAGTTGGACTTCTTATTCTTTAATATAAGATGATGATAAAAATGCCTTGTTGTTACAGTAGAACTTTGTGCACATACTCTGTACCTAATGGGGGTGGGGGAGTCAAGGAGATGAGAAATCATTAATAGTAAACAACCCCTGACTGTATTGGAGCTAAAAAGAACAAAATCCTGAAAGTGTCCCGTGACCTCTTGGGCAGCACGAGGTCTCCAGCAGCCAAAGTGCTTAAAGTCTCTGTGTCCTTAATATTTTAGCTACCACCGAAAACTAAACTATTCTCTTTTGGCAGAAGGCAAAAACTATGTATTGACAACAGCAGATTTCAGTTATGTAGGTTTGGGTCCCTGTGATATTTTATTCACAGACAGCTTAAACCTTGTCTATTTGAAAGAAAAGTTTAGTTGACCAGTGTCAAAGGCGAGTTCAGAAGAAAGAAAGTCCTTTTCCGGGCTAAAGCACTGCTGGCGTAGGTTCTATTCTAGAAGAAAAGAGGCTGATAAGTTATCTGGAATATTGGGTGAATTTGGTCACCAGCTTAAATGCTGTTCTGTCATCCACAAGTTATATTTTTCTATGAAATAATGGAGGCACAACTTTATTGATTACACAAATAATGAGGTATATGGTAGAACAGTACTTATAATCTAAAGCACAGTCTGGCATGCAGGAAGCACATATTTTAATTATTAATTTTTGTTCCTTCTTTCTGCCTTCATATAAACTCTTGTAAATAATAATTGTTGATACAAAGTACCTCTTTTGTGGTCAACAAATCAAGCAATATTTGTTGTTATACATCATTTTGTGTCTGTTTAAACTGTGATGGTTTTGGCATATACACTTTGACATAACTTTGTTAGCATATTTGGATACTTTTCTCTGAGTGTTTGCGGTTGTTTTATTTTTTATTTTTATTTTGTTTAATTGTTGCATGTCATATGTTCTAAAATATATGTTAAAAAATTAAAAACAACAACAACAACAAAGGGATGGCTTCTCCATCTGCGCAGAAGTGCGGTCCTTACCAACTCAAGAAGCTTAGGAGTGGTGGAATTGATATGTTGAGTGATTGATGAAGGAAAAATGCATCTCCCCTCCCCACCCCCATGAGTTTTTATAAGGCAACTCTCATTCAGGATTGCCCATCTGAGATGAAATGGCTGAGTACACATTAGCAAGGGAAGCATGAAAGCAAATTCTTGCATATCTTGTATTGTCTTATTCTGGAAGGTGTGGGGGGGGGAGGCGATTTCCAAATCTTCCTCCAGTGTTCTGATCCACTCTTGGGACTCCCTTCTTTCCTAATATTTTACGCTGTTCTTTTTTTATATACTTGTATGTTTCCGTATAAATTTTAAACTTTCAGAATAAAGACGTGTGTGTGTTGTTGTTGTTGTTGTTGTTGTTGTTGTTGTTGTACCAGTGGGATTCCTGCCCCATTTCCCTGCTACCCCTCTGCTATTCTACTGTGTGATTTGATCCCAGTAATTCCAGGCAGTTTCTTTGTTTCTTTTGCTTTACAAAAATGTAGCATAGTAAAAGAGAAGCATTTGTTTTCCTCCATTTCTCATAGAAAAAAAAATATTGTCATTACTCTTTGATAGGGAAAATGGAGAAGTAAGATTGAAAGTGGGAAAAGGGAGGCACATAGTAATCTTGGCCTAAAACAGTAATATTAGACTTGTTTGTTCTGGTAGATCTAGGGTGGTGCTGTCTGAAACTGAAAAGCAATGCTTTTATCTTTGAAAATAATTAGAATTATTTGCAGTCAGTGATAAATTTGACCACAAGATCCTTAAACATACTGTACTTAAAAAAACCACACCACACAGCTTACAAGTACTGCCTTGTAGGGCTAAATATGTATCTCTTCTCGGGTTCTGAGGTACTTCACAATCATTAAAATTGTCTGTAGTAATTGTTTATTTCCATTTGTATAAACAACCATGTTGAAAATAATTCATTTATGTTTCTAGGATCTGATTGGATAGGTGTGCTTATCTTTCCTTTTTAAAAATACAGGGGTATTCTTTTAAGGGCAGGGAATAAAAGAAATAGCTGTAAATGATATTCTGTCTCCCGCACTGATATCTAGATATCTAGAGGCAGGTCAAGGTAATAGGCATTTCAAAACGGCATCTGTTTTGATTTTTAACACAATGGGAGAAAATGAACCATAAAACATTGGGAGTCCTCTACTATTGTGTTACGGCTTTCCTATTAATCTGTACCTTTTATTTCTGTCATGCAAAATCCAAAGTTATTTGCTAAGGTTGCTTGTTTTGTTTTGTTTGCTACCCCTTCTTGTTTAAGGGGTTCCTAGTCTGATCACCCCAGCCTCCAGCTCAAAGGCGATGTATCTGAATTAACTTAATATGAGAGTACATTAATTCTGACGGTTTCTAAAGCAAGTTGGGAATTGCAATCATTTCCCGGCAGACTGTTCATGACTGAGATCTGAACCAGTATCTGAGCTTTGTTGTTTAGTCGTTTAGTCGTGTCCGACTCTTCGTGACTCCATGGACCAGAGCACACCAGGCATTCCTGTCTTCCACTGAGTATCTGAGCTATATGTTCTAAATTTCTGCATGTGAATGTGTGTGTGCTTGTATGAGTGAAAGAAAGAATTGTGTCTGTCTTTCTTTAAGAGTCAAATATGACAGCTGCCAACCAAACCCTAATTTAATGCCACTACAACCCTAAATCGCATTCATTCACTAGTAACTCCTAATGGCATACATGATACCTTGCCAGATTTGTGGCCTTTGTGAGGTTTATAAACGGGGACTGACTTAGGGAGATAATAAAACTTAATGAACTTCTTGGGTACAGGAGGTGTCTGCAGGTCTGTTTCCATGGCTCAACAATTTATTAAAAAGTTTTTAAAGTAGCAATTTTTTATTCTCCAGTCCTTAGTGTCTCAAGTCCTCATATCAAAAACTTGTTTTGTTTCCCCTCTTAATAGAAATGCCTTAGTCACACATGTGAACTGAAATTAACAATAGAGTTAACTTCTTGTTTCCAACATATGCCAAAACCATTGGTGTTATTGTTGCAGTTGTAACTAGCCATGTAATGCCACTCCGCAGAGAACATTTCCCATTATCTCTCTGTAGCCACATGGGTGTTCAAGGGCCAGCTCATGAATATGTCTTACTTTCATCTCTTGTAGTTATGCAGACTAGTCAGTATAATGCAGCAAGACCTTAATGATTTCCTTCTGCTGTAAGATATTGAAAATAAGTAACAAGTCTCCATCTTAAAAGAGCAAAAGAACTGTTTCCATTGAACTTTTCAGTAATCACAAGCTGGCACAGACACTGTAGAGGTAAAAAACCCCAGTGACTAATATTTAAACTGTTTAAAAGTTTGACCGGGTTGCTCTTCTTGAAAATAAATATGAAGTTGTGATATGTTCAGCTGGTTTAAAGTTATTTTGTTTTAACCTTAATTGCTTCAGAATGAGAATTGTAATCTTCCCCATTCTCCCCCCCCCCCCCCACACTCTGTACTATACTGTTAGGAATTAAATTAAAATGCAGGGCTCACTGTCAGTGGTATTCTTTACTATTACAAACCGAATGAAGTAAAAAAAGAAAAATCTTTCACGTAACACACAAAAACATTGAAGTCCCATTGCTATTCCTGTAGTGGTTCCCTAACAAGTTTGAATATGTGTTCGTCTCTACTTTAACCTTCCTTATTAGTGTTTTTCTCTTTAAAAAAAACAAAAACATACAAAATATTTTGTAAGCCCACCATCTCAGTGCTTTCAATATTTGATTGTAACAAACCTGTTACTGCACTGCACCTTTGCCAGAGGACCTTGATGTATTGAAGTACCGAATAAGCCGCAATTTGATTAGAAGTGATCTCTCGCTTCTTCTTTTTCTTGCCATTTTCTTCTCCAGGAACCTATAAGATATAATCAGAACTGCTTAATTCAGTCTCTGTGCTGTTTTTTTAAAAAGAGGACACTTAATTTGTTGCTTTGACACCAACATATCCTTGCATATTTTAAAATATTTTAAATGGATTATGAGCTGTCATCCAATATACTTCTGTAATGCTCCTTCTAACTTAGATCTCTTTTGCATCAAATCAAAAAATGAATTAATGTTACAGCTAGGTATAGGTTAGTGTGAGACTGTCTAGGCCAGGCCTTGCTGTACAGATTTTAATAGATTTGTCAACTCAATTCCTACAGCTCTTGATGAGAATTCCTACAGCTCAATGAGAAATGCCCATTTATGTGCCCTGTGAATATTATGTGATCCTTATTTAATTCAGACAGCAAGCTACTCAAAAGGCATATATCGGAATCAGTATCGCAAACATCTGAAAAGCTTCATTTTATAGAGTACAAAACAGTGAGCATGAGATATTTATCTAGTTGTTTTTTGTTTGTTTTTAACTTCTCTGTAGCATTTCAAGCCTCAGAGAACAGGGCTAGCTGAATGTTTAAGATGCATGGGAATGACTAATAAGGTTGTATACCAGCAACTTAACATAAATCTAGAGCAGGGTAGTTTTTGTCTTCCTCCCCCTGTGTATCACTGATTGAATGAGATGTAGATGTTTCTATGAATTGACATCAGGAGAAGAATGCTTTGGTGGATCTTCCTCCTTCTCCTAGCAGTCATGTTTAATGTCATTCACTTATCAAGATGATCAGCACAGTTCTGATAAAAACTTACCTAACACACTCCCTTCTTTAACCACCAGTTTGACCTTTTGTCATGTTTGCATTTCTTTGCTAGACAATTCATATGTTCCGATTAGGGCTGGAATAAATAATTTACAGAAATAACTAATGTGAGCTACTGAAATTTCTGTTTGGTTTTTGCACCTCCTGCTTTCCCTCCCTCCCCTGTTTAAGATATGTATGTATGGGGTAGATCATCAACCAAACTGATAAATTACACTTTTCAACTGGACATTACAGCTATTCCAGTGTTATCTATACAACATAGTCAAACAAGGGACTTGCATATGGAGGCAAATGAAGTGTGAGGCTGCACCAGCCTGTGCATTTTTTCTCTCTCAGAAGGTGCTACTTGCATTTGTCTTGAGCCGGGAGTTGGAGAAGGAAATTGGTGTGCTAATTTGGCATTCTGTCAGCAAACCTTGATCCTTATTGCTTGTCTTTTAGAAAATAGACATGTAGCAAACCTTTCAGTTGGAGTTTCTTCTTGTTTCATATGTATATTGTATATCTAGCTCCTATGATCGTTTAAAAAATACGCATATTTTGCAAGATAAACGATAGAGCTCTTCAGCTATATGTAATGATCGTCATCAGTTACTGCTGGTTCCAAGAGCTCAGTCTTCTTTGGTTGAAAGTGAGGCAATTATTCCTGAGAATCTGATTGAATCCAGTATTTCTTACAAGGTGTATCGCTAACTAGGTTTGATCAAGATCAGAAATGTTGCCAAGTAGAAACTAAAGTCTATCCTTGCTCTAACGCTATACCTGAGTTGGATTTAGCACTTATATGCTGTCGCTTGCTGAAGGGGAAATCCATTTTCAGCTGTAGTCAGATAACTCTGGCGGAAAGGATGAAAAGAGTTTGTTCAAGCAGCAGATATTTGGGGTGGGAATTCTTATTTCCACTTCTTGGCATCTTGCCATGCTTTATATTATTCTTTAACCTGTATATCTGATCTTACTGTCAGACGGGTAGTTTTTCACATGTATGTTTTGGGGCTTATTTGTGTGTGAGTATCATACAAGGATGAAACTCTTTCCCCCTTATTTTTAAAAACCTTGATAAGTTATGTTTTTTGGCATACATCATGAAGCAAACCTATCCATCTCAAGATCTCTTCCCATGCAATCTAAATTAAGATTCTATGCGGGCCCTTACAGATGCTGGTAACTTTTGGCAATTATCATTTTGTTTGGTGAGCAGTAGTAAAACAGTGTGCGGTAAAAGTGTTTAGAGGGAGAAAGGATAAATAAATGGGACAGTTTTGCAATGCAAAGTGGTTTGGGGTGTTTTTTGAGGATTTCTTGGCTCTTGCTTAACTGCTATTGTGAAGCCTGGAGCAGATTTTTTCCCATTGCTAATGCCCTAGAAGTATTAATTCACTTTGATATGCTAATTAGAGGGCATTATGCAAGAAATGAGATTAAGTGGCAGCATGAAGCCATTTGCCTGTCAGTAAATTGAGAGCTTTAGCATCAGGAGGAGCTTTGTGTGTGTGTGTGTCTGTGTGTTTTCCCTGAGTTTCTCTTGGTTTTGCATATAAATAAAATTGATTGAAAGGTCTAGAGAAGCTTCTAGAACATTGGTGGTTCTTCTCTTCTCTTCTCCTCCCCCACCTTTCCTTTTATGATTATTTAAACTTTGTGTTAGAGACTTTCTCTGCATATTAATTGATCTAATGGGAGACGGTGAACGTGAAAAATTCCTTTGTGTTTCACTGGCAGTACGTTAAGAGAAAGGGAAGTGCAATCTTGTGTTGGGTGGCATTTCTGTCTACCTCTCTTCCCTCCCCTCCCCTCTACTGACCTGTACATTTATGATGTGGTGCTGTAAGACCCTTCTGTGCAGCAGCCTTGAAACGGATGACGGCAGACTTTGGTTTTGGCCTTTGAGATAGCATGATGAAGGTTTGATTTCAAGAGTAACACCAAACAAATAAGTTGCAAAGTAGCAGCAAAGGCCTGATGTCCCCCCCACCCCACCCCACTCACTCCCGGAGTTCCCCATGAATTGGTAAGCAGTTCACACACATACATAGTTCAGAAAGAAAATGTTGTGTTGTGTGTGGATTTTGTTTGCTATTAAGGAATATGGGAGTAGTTTTAAAGGTTGACCTTAAAATCGGTAAGAGCAAGTAATTCAGAGTTAAAGCGTATGTTCTAACCTTAATTTGATTAATTGCACTTGCTTGTTGGAGCTCATATAGTGTATTATATCTGTGTAATAAGCCTCTCATGGCAATAGGATAACTGGTGGTAATGTGGTTTTTGATCTAACTCAGATCATCCCAACTCCATTACCCATTTCTGATGCTTAGCTTCTGTGGTATTCAGAATATTGATGCACAAAGAAGCATTGAAGAAAAAATATAAGAGTGTGAATGAGCATGTGCACACAGAAAAAAACTGTCTTACTGTTTTTCTGAGTCTGCTTAGTGTGTGAAAGCTTGTCCTTTTTTTTTTTTAACACCTTAATATCCACAGCTAGCGAAGGTCAAATTCCTCTCTAGTTCCCTCTGTGCTCTGCCTGACAGTTCCTTGTGAAGTAAGCTAGGCTGAGGGCTGAATAACATTTCACACTCTTAAGTACTTTGATATGGATATCCCAGTGCAAAATACATATGGTGATGCATTGACTGTAAGTGATGAAAAGGCATTTTCTGAATAGCTGGACTCCTCTTTTCCAGGCACAGACAGGGGCCCCAGTCCTTCCCTGCACTTTATTTCTATATATACTGTGGGGAACTCTTGTCATTTTGGTGTATGCCCATTCATAAACAAAATTCTGCAGTGTGTGTGTGTGTGTGTGTGTGTGTGTGTGTGTGTGTGTAGTTGAATATCCCTTCTATAGTACAAAACTATAACTGAATGGGCCATAGAGAGATTTTGCATCTCAAAATGCCTAGGATTTATTTCCTCAGGTTAAACTGCAACTAGCCATTTAACTGTAAAAGGCTAAAAAGCCCACCAGAATCTGAGAATCAAAGGCAACTTGATTGGCAATGACCAATTTTTGACCCTGGCATGCGTTGGTGGAGTCAGCATAAGCCTGCTCTGCCCCATTATGGCCCTTCCCTTCCCCATTATGCTTCCTTTTCCAACCACTATCGGGACTTCAAAGTGTGTGTGCACGGTTGTGCGTCAAGTGGATGCGTGTAAAGCAGTTGTTGCCTGTAGAACAATTCTGGTATGACTTCCACAGGACTATCATAATAAACATGGGGGTATGGTGCCCTTACTGAAACAAAACTTGATGGGTAGAAATAGGATGAAAAGGCTTAGTTAAATCAATGTTTGTTCTTTTTGGTCAGAACCTTTTCTCTTCATTTTAAAAATCATTTTGGATTTGGAAAAAAATTGACTGACTAATGCCCAAAGAAAATTTCCTTGTAAGAAGTAACTTTGGATTAGTAACCAGCTGTTCATTTCTGAGCCTTAGCTCCCATAACAAAAGTGCTCTTGAGGAATGTTTTTTGTTACCTGCTGCCTCCACTATATTAATGTTGCTCAGGGGTCACTGCAATAAAGGGGAAACTTCATGAATAAAATAAAGGAACTGAATCCATTTCTGATTTGAGGTACAGCACTGTCAGTTAGTAATATTGCAACTAGGTTGGCTAACTGGAGCTTGAAGTTGTGGAGTGGCTGGAAGCAGAGAAGTGGTGGGAGGCCCCAGTTGGGGAACCCCCAGGGGAAGAAGGCTCAGAGACAGGGGAGTGGTGGTGGGTCAATGATGCAGTGGTCAGAGGGAGAAGTCACTGACACTGGTGTGTTTATTGCTGACCCACTCCTTGCAAGTTTGAGGTCACTGGCTCAAGGGCTCCTGATCCAATGAGTTCTGACTCAAGACAAATGATGATGCTGGGTCCGA